CCATGTATGAAAATTGTTCATTGTATGTTTGACAAATGTTCTACATGTCTCTACTCTTATAAAAAAATTGAGTTTGTAATGACGGTGTGCCTGCCATCTTGCAATATAGACCGTTCGATCTATATCTAACAGATAGAAAGCAAACTATGGTGATTTTGCAAAAAGATACCCGCACCTCTCTCCACATTTGCAAATAAATATAGACCATCCGATCTATATCTGACGGGTTGAAAGCAAACTATGGTAATTTTGCAAAAAGATACCCGCACCTCTCTCCACATTTGTAAATAAGGCATTCCCTCGTTCATACTTATCTCCCACAACCTCATTGTTGAGCAATTAAAAAAGGGAGCCTCTGGAACAATCTGGCATGGTGGCCACTGCCAGCGTCGTCCATCCACATGCCTCCACTCAGTCCGACCACCAATCACCGCCACACCCCACTCCTTCTCACCTTATCTCTCCTCTTTCTCGAGATATCATTAGTTTTTACACATGGGATTACTCCCGCATGGGTCAATCACGACTGGTGTTTTGTTAAAAAAAATGCATCTCGGTGTTCAGTGCAATGCACGGGCATCTTGCTAGTTAGATTTTACATCTGGAATTACTCCCACATGGGTCAATCACAACAGGTGTTTTGTAAATAAATGCATATTGATGTTCCGTGCAAATGCACGGGCATCTTACTAGTATTGGAATGTTCCTAACACCACTTAAATGGCCTGGCTGAGTGACATATGGTTCTCCTGCATAGGCTGGCCTTTGTAAGTGCCTACTTGCGAAGCGTCGCCCAGATAAACGTGCCCACGTTCGGTTAACACTCTATGGTAAGACCAGTACAAATTTACGGGCGCATCTATGTCTTGCTTATAGCGTGAGTGAGATGGTAGGATGGCTCACCTCATGTGTAGCCTATAGGCTATAGTGGGCTGGGCAAATATGGATCTTTCAATGTTTTTCCCTTTTTCTAGTGCAAGGCTTGCGTTTTCTCTTTTTGTTTTCTTTTTTCTTACTTAAATTCATATTCCCAAAATGCTCTAAGAACAATTTCTTTACTTAGTTTTTATAAATATTGACTATGCATAAAATACGTTTGGAAACGCAAATGTTTGATCTCGAGGTTTTAAAAAAATGTTCATATAGTTGAGAAAAACTTATGACATTTTAAAATGTACACATTTGAAATATGTTCATGGTATTTGAAAAATATTCATGAAAAATGTAAAATTTTGTCCGCAAACTTTAAAAGACGTTTGTGCCATAAAATAAATTCATGCAATTTAAACAAATATCCATGGTTTTAAAAAATGTTATAATAATTTAAGGAAATGTTTAGCAATGTTAAACTTTGTTATCATAGTTTTGAACAAAAGTTCATGAAATTACAAAATTATTGATAACATTTCAAAAGATGGTCACATGTTTCGGAAAGGATCTTCAACATTTTTTTAGAAAAAATCACAGTGTATTTTAAAAAGTATTCAACACACTTTTGACAAATGTTCAACATGTTTTGAAAATAATGTTCAACATGTTTTGAGAATAATGTTCGACGTACATGTGGAGAATGTTCAACATATCTTCAAAGAATTTGACATATATTTAAAAATAAAAAATCTAGTGAAAAATAAAAAAAAAGCAAAAGAAAACAGGAGAAGAAAAAAAAGACGATCGGAACCTTTCCAAAACAGAGCAAAAGGTTCCTGTGAGTTGTGGTTCTAACAGGGTGTTTGTTTACAGGGACTTATTGGTGTAGGGACTTAAAAAAGTCACTTTTAGTCCCATCTAGATCAAACATGAGAGACTTATAGGGATTTAAAATGGGCATTTGGGACTTATGAAAGAAGATTTCGAGGGAGAGTCTTTTTGGGACTTTAAGTTGTAACATGGTCTTTTAGTCCATGTTTAGTCCGAGGAACCAAACATGTAGGGACTTTTTAGGGACTAGCAACTTTTTAGTTGGGACTAAAAAAAGTTCTAGGACTTAGACATAGCAGTGCGGCCTTGTTTATATTCTTGTCCAGTTAGTTCACTCTGAATTTGGGCTGCTTAACACGTTTGCCACGTGTTCCAGCTAGCTGATCATGATGGCAACCAGTTGTGCGGTCGATGGCTCAGATGGTCCAAACGAATCCCTAATTATTATTGTGAAACCAAGTGTGCGAAAAATTAAGGTCGGCCCAATGAAGCTGCACACCAGCACGTAGAAGAATTGGATGATACCCCCGGATGCCCGAGTAAATCATTCCGGCATGCAGCATCTCCATCCTCACTCAAGGCAAAGGCGTACCAAGCCACGGTAGCTAGTCTGGCCGGCCGGCGCCGCAGGCAGCATGATTATTAGCCCGTCACGGGAGAAGAAGATCCCTCAAAGCTTCCCACGACGATCGGTTCGGCAGCGCCGGCGCAACCTCTAATTTGCGCGACCGGAATCGAATAATGGACTGTAGTACGTACGTGGCATCATCACTCAGAGTAGCCTCGATCGCTCGGCGGCGACACGCTGGCCGAGCTGGCCAGCCAGCCCGGCTCGCGGTTGCGGCGCTGAGAATGGAATGGCCAACCGAATGAACCCACCAACACCGCCCAGGCCAGGCCGAACCGACAACGACACCGGCGCCGCGGCGGCGCGCCCGTGACGCCAGGACATGCCCGGCCGGCACACGCCACCGCCACACTGTCCGTAGGCTGCTAGCTGGGGTATATTCGTCGCCCCGAAATGGCGGCGAAAAGAAGGAGCAAAAACGCGTGGCGCCGCAACTTGGACTTGAAGGCCAGCCAAACCAACAACGACGTACTGTACCCAGCAAGCAAAACGCGCAGCAATGGCGCGTCGGTACCACGTTCCGTTGCGTGTCCTTGGTAGGTCTCTGACGCTCTCCATCATGCGTCTCCGTGTACGAGCTCCTGTCAGAGTTAATTGAGATAGATATCGTAGGTCGTAAATGTATGTGTATATGCCACACAAGTTTCACGCTTTTGGCAGCAGAAAAAGAAGCGGACGATGCACGGCGGCTCGTTGCTAGCTTTTCGGGTAAGGAATCCAGGCAGGCCGCGCGCGCACCCTGTCTTGTGTCGGCGCCAACCGATGGATCGATGGAATTGCAGTGTCTGTCCGTATCGCGATCCCGGAAAAAGTGTTTGATAAAGTAGTAAACCGCCCGAGTGGCCAACCCTTGCTTTAATCATTGCACATGGAAAGATTGCTTACTCAGATGGTGTTTGTTTCTCTAGCCCTAGGACTTTTTCTAGTCCCCAAGACTTTTTGAAAAAAAATCTCAAGGAGGTGCTTCTAAGGACTTTTAGCAAAACATCCTAAAAAAGTCCCATCCTGTTTGGTTTGCTAGGAACTTTTTCTAATCCCTACACCAAAAAGTCCCTGGAAACAAACACCCCCTCACTCGTCATCTTGCTTGCCTGTAATTTCGGGACGGGTTCTCGCAGGAATATGGCGTCGGTACGTCTAGATCTAATAACCGGATTAAGAAGTCATCTATATCGCGATTGATACGAGCGACTAAAGAAACATAAAGTGATGTTCCCACTCACAGGCGCACCGAAGCTTCCATGATTGATCTCATCGAATTACCCGGGAGAAAAAAAGAATCCCGTCCGTCCATCACTGATTGCTTGCTTGGGGTTGGGATCGGCCGTCTGCCCATGCTCCACCCCTCGAGTCAACAGTAAGCATTTCTCCTCTTCGGCTGTAGAGTGCAGACGTTACTCCACGTGACTGTAAATAGATAGAAAAAATACTGACCGTAAGAGCATCTACAGCCGGACGCCTCAAGACGGCCTCAAATGTCTGGGCGGCCCGCCCGGTCAACGACCGGTCATGAAAATGTGACTCAGCCGGACGCCTTCAACGAGCCTCAAGCGTTCGCCACGTCAGCCCGGCCTACCCCGACCTCACAAATATCCTCATCCGAAAACCCTAGACACCGGCCAATCTGAACTCCACTTCACTCCCCTCTCCATCCACTCCACTTCCGATCCCCTCCCCTCTGATCCAATGGTCGGCGAGGAAGTAGCGGTGGATCTGGTGCAGAATCCGACGGCTCGACCGTCGACGTGGAGGAGGTGGCCCTCCGCATCGTCTTGAGGTCGCTGATCAAGCAAGGCGGGCCCGGCAGCGGCGGATCTTCTTCCTCAACGCCCGTCGGCGACGTCGCCGGCCCTTCCCACCCGGCGCGCAGCTCCCCTCTGCTAGGAACGCCGCCACCTCCGCCCCCTCTGGTCCAGAAGTGGTACCCTAGCACCGTCGGGGTCCTCGTGCCCATGCTGGGGGCCGGCGCGCACGGGGATGCCCGAGTTCAAGGCACATGCAGCTCGGCGCGAGCTGCAGCGAGCGAGGGAGAGGTAGGAGGCTATGTCCGCGCGCCGGTCGATCCCGAGGCCGAGGCACGTGCAGCTCGGTGCAAGCTGCAGCGAGCGAGGGAGAGGGAGGAGGTTATGTCCTTGCGCCGGTCGATCCCGAGGACGCATTCCTCGCGTCGGTCCTCCGCCGCTCTCTCGCGGCAGCGGTTTTGAGCAAGGTTGTCAGAATCGCGATTCTATTATACGACTCTACGACTTTACGATCCAAACTAACCCCTCTGATTCTACGAATTTAGTTCTTAGAATCTGCGCTTCTACGGTCCTGCTAATGAAAATTCTATGATTTGAGATCCTATCCTCAAAAAGCTCGCTCAAAATCGTGATTCTGACAACCTTGATTTTGAGGGTTCAGACATGAGGGAAGGGCTCTGCCTGTGCTTGGGGGAATGCAGTAGCGCAGAACCACAGTTGGAACAAGTCAGCAGCGCGGTGCCCATTCAACACGCCTAGCACGAGCACCGACCGTCTGTACCGCTTTAAGAGAAAATACAACTAGACGCGTAGCACCGACTGTAGCTCGCAGCACGTACCGTTTCGGCCCAGGGAGTCAAAGGGGGCGAGGACCAATGGCAACGCAACCGCGTCGCCCGCCCGCACATTACACACGACACGAGAGAGAGATGCACTACACCGATGCCACATGCCCACGGCCCCTTCCAGCCAGCCAACAGCCAACCCCAACCGCGCGGTGCCTTCCGTGCGACCTCCACTCCACCCCTCGTCCCGCTCCTCCTCCTGCCCTGTATTTATTCCTTACCACTCCTCTCCCCGTCCTCCTCACTCCACCGCCACCACCTCTGAATCCCAGCCTCCGCCTCCACACGACAAGAGAAACTCAGCAACAACCAACGCCAAGAGCAGGCAGCTCGGTCCTTCAGCACCAAGCAATGGCGACGTCGCGGGCGGACGTGGAGAAGGGCGCGTCGTCGTCGCCGAGGAAGGCGAAGCAGGAGCCCGGGAAGGTGCCGGCGCCGCTGTACCCGCAGCACGAGGGGGAGCGGGAGTGGACGCCCTGGCTGGTGCCCTCCATCCTCGTCGCCAACATCACCGTCTTCACCATCGCCATGTACTACAACAACTGCCCCGCCCACAACGCCAGGCCCGGCCGCGACGACGGCCAGTGCGTCGCCCGCTTCCTTCACCGCTTCTCCTTCCAGCCCCTCCGCCAGAACCCGCTCCTCGGCCCCTCCTCCGCCACGTAAGCATGCCGCCTTCCTCTCCCTTCCTTCAATCCATTCCTTCTCTCTGTCTCTCTGTCTGTTAATCCACGTCCTTGTGCTCGCAGCCTGTTTCATTGGGTTGGGAGTTACAAATTAGGAATTATTATTGGCTTGTTGCTGATCCGTGCCTCAAGATTCTTACTGCCATAGTAGTTGCTCCCTTTGCTTACCTGCCAAGCTAGGCAGTGGTTGCGATGGGAGGCAGGAAATCACATATAGCTGACTGCAGATCGACTGTGCACACACGATTTCTGTTGCGAGAAACAACAAGTAGAAATTAAGTGCTATTCATCACCGATTCTCTTCTTTCGCAACATTATTAGTCTGAAATCTGAATGAATGAATCAACAACCGAACCTGCCAAGATGAGATCCGGCACCCAAATAATTCCTAGGGCAGAGGCGCCAGAGATGGCCCGAAAAAGAAACACGGGTAGGACGCACTGAGTAGGACACCAACCACACCACACGCCAATGCAAGTGCACATGAGCTGGGGCTGCCTGTATCGGGGCGGCATGCCAGTACAGCCCCTGTCCACATACGGCAGCATGGCTGCATGCATTCTTGATGATGACCAGGGGGCCCGGCCGATCGATCCTGACTCCTGTGGATGCATGCGAATGAACTGCAGGCTGGTTAAGATGGGCGCGCTGGTGTGGGACAAGGTGGTGCACGGGCACCAGGGGTGGCGCCTCTTCTCCTGCATGTGGATGCACGCCGGCGTCCTCCACCTCCTCGCCAACATGCTCAGCCTCCTCTTCATCGGCCTCCGCCTCGAGCAGCAGTTCGGATACGGTAAATAAATAACTTCTTAGCCCCTGTTCATTTCATTTCATCTCGACTCCAACTCCATCCATCCATTAAACTCACCGTCGTCTTCCTCGTTGCATGCAGTGCGGATCGGCGCCATCTACCTCGTCTCCGGCGTGGGCGGGAGCGTGCTGTCGTCGCTCTTCATCCGGAGCGCCATCTCGGTGGGGGCCTCGGGGGCGCTGTTCGGGCTGCTGGGGGCGATGCTGGCGGAGCTGCTCTCCAACTGGACCATCTACACCAACAAGGTGGCGGCGGTGACCACGCTGCTCTTCGTCATCGCCGTCAACCTGGTGCTGGGCATCCTGCCGCACGTCAACAACTTCGCGCACATCGGCGGGTTCCTCACGGGGTTCCTCCTGGGGTTCGTGCTGCTCATGCGCCCCCACTTCGGGTGGATGGAGCGGTACCGCCTCCCCGCCGGCAGCCCCTGCACCGCCCGGAAGTACCTCCCCTACCAGTGGGCGCTCATGGCCGCCGCCCTCGCCCTCGCCGTCGCAGGGTAAGCATCATACAGTAGATACTTATTATTGTGCATTTAAGGTGTCATTAAGCAGCAGCAGCATTACTTCACTTACGTACTACAACAGTTTAGCCGCTGGAAACATTATGAACATTTGTTGTCACCCGCAGAAACTGTAGTTAACACTTATGGACACCTAAACTGGAGTAGTTAGTGGGGGGAAAAGTGGAGAAGCGAAATGTGGGGTTGGTGCATGGGCACTGCACATGCGTGCATCCCGTTGGTAGATTAGATTAGATTGGATGCGCCAACGAACCTGCGCGCCCAGGTTCCTTCCTTCCTTCCCATCAAGACACTCATGTGAACCGACAGGCAAAGACAGAGCACCATGCCTCTTTTTATTACACAATTATAAATTAACCATATCATCATAGTGATCCGTAGCTGGCCTTGTTATTCTTCTTCCTCCACCACGTAAAACAAAGTTTCTTGGTCGCCTTTACCAACCTTACAGCCACGCCCAACCCGCAGACACACATATTAGTTATTACCACGTCCTAGTGTAACATAGTATTTAATCTCTGAAGTCTCAGCAGCTACGTGTTTCTGTCGGTGGATTAAATTAAGGTGGCGAGACGGCCGGCCGAAGAGGAGAGGAGGCCGTTCTTTCCGTGCTTGCTCTGACTGACTGGCTGTTGGGAACCCTTTTTTTTGCTGCAGATTCGCGATCGGGCTGGCCATGGTGTTCCGCGGCGCCAACGCCAACAGCAGCTGCGGCTGGTGCCACTACCTCAGCTGCGTCCCCACCAAGAGCTGGACCTGCGCCAACTGATGAGCAGCACCAAGCACCGCCCACCAACGCGCACCAACACACATGACATGAGCACCAGAGTTTTCCCTGTCATCAATCCTTCCAGCGGGTGCCCCACAACATATTGTCCGGTTCATATTTGTAGATAGAGAGATCAAGGGGCTGATTGGTTAGACACACACAGACAAGACTCGTTGGGTTCTTTATCTCTTGTCCATTTGATTTATTCTTTTGTAATGTATAACGAAATTTGTTTCGAGAATCGTCCCTCATCTGTCCTGCCATGTGCGACGTTGCTTCCTATCCTTCCGAGTCAGCGGCCAAGCAACCAGCTCTTTGTGATCCCACAGATTGCTGCCAGTTGCGCTGCGCTCTAGGGCATGGTCTGGCCTGATTGGCACATGCGCAAGATTCCATTTGGCTATTAATAATCAAAAGTTCCAACAAGTCACACAGATCAGCCAATTTTGCACAATCAACATGCAAACCACCACATGCTACGCGGTTGACATTTCACCGACTATCTAATCCTCGGGCGCACCACGACTATGCCGGTTAAAAGAACTTTCTAAACCACATGGAACGGCATCAGAATGAACATGGCAGCCAGGTACTTATATCATATCTCCAGATGCAAAACCTATTCATAAACCGTTTGTGCCAGCAACATTCATAACCTAATAAGAGCCAACAGAGAGAAGAAAAACAGAGTTGATTGTTCGGCCATCAAGGCACTTCACCGAAACCTCTCAACGTGCCACGGCACCCTTTGTCCCAAAACAACTACCGTATTTCCAAGCGGAGGAGGAGACAGCCACCTTTTAGCATTTAACTCGGAGCTCACAAGTTCATCTTCCTTTGTCCAGGCCAGTTCTTCTGGTTGAAATCGTGCTTGATGAGGTTGGCTCTCAGGAGCATGGCCTTGATATCTCTCTCAAACTCATTGCCCGTCTCGAGGGCCCGCTGGAAGGTTGCGTTTCTTTGGTCAGCATGCCTCGCATACAGGATCTTGTTGTGGGAGTCGATCCGGGCCTACAAAAGGTAACCAAGAAGCAGGTCAGAATAATAATAGGAGAATTATTATACAGGTATATGCAACAAGATGAGAAATCTTTTTAAGGGTACCTGTATTTTGTTCTCGGTGATCAGTGCAGCCAGCTCTTTCTCCAGCATGGACACTGAGCTCTTGAAGGCACTAGCCATTGTGTTGAGATCCACAGATATGAACGGAAGCGTGTACTGTATGATAGCCTTGTGGCGGATATCATTGTACAGAGTCCCAAGATGCTCACGGAGATGGATATCCAGAAGGAGATTCGGCTTTAGCTTCTCAAGATGCTCCAAGCATGATCCATAGCGACTAGTTTGGACATTTTCATGGTTAGCATATTTATTTGACACAAATCGGTTGGAAAAAAACTACAACCTAATCTAGCAGTGACACAAACAAATGACTTGGAGCCCAACTTTGGAACCAAAAAAATGTTGTACAGGTAATCAAGCTTTCGTGGTATCTGAAACTGTAAAAACCCAAAGGGCACATTAATTGACACCATATTGTAGAAAATAAGGTGTAAAATTATAGGAAACTATTATTATCGCTAATGCATCTAAGAGTCATATCTGAACACACAAGCTAAAACCCTCATTGCCAAGAAAGGGCTGTCTATATGATATATATCTATGCTGAGACACAGTAAGTAACTGATGTGGCGTACAAAAGAATGAGAGTAATAGAATGATACCCCCTACCCCTAGGGATTGAAACCAATTGCCAGACACCTTTTCCTTCTAGAAAACTAACTACTCTGTTTTTCTTTATAGCAATTACTGTATTTGAGTTAGACACAGTAAGAGGAGAACAAAAAGAAAAGGTTGAATACATCATTTTAATTATGCCAGCGCCAATACTTATGAAATTATTATGAATTGTGAGTGCAAGTTCTACTGCTTGACGCAGGGTTTCCAGTATATTGAAAAAAGAACAAAAGCATATACGTTGTATTATATGTGAGCTCTGATGATATAGTAAAAAAACAAACAGTTGCAAAATCTTCGACATATCCTATCAGAGTAGCAAGTGTAAAAACAACCACCACCCTGAAAAGGTGGTCAAGAACGATAAAATACTGGAGTACTAAAAGCTGTCCCAATAGAAGCATACCTTGCATAAAAATCATTGACCAGCTCCCTTACTTCAGGCACTAGCTCAAGAAAGTTACGGAAGTTTATGTTGTCAATAACTTTGCTCTGGCAAAATAAACAAACAAGCATGTTTCAGTGTAACCGAAACCGACCAACCATACAAAAGGCACACAACAAAAGAAGAAGAACAAGAGGTAAACCTTAAGTTCTGAACGATCGAAAGAAGCAAGTGCACAAAGGGCACCATAAACAGCCACATCTTGCGGAGCTATGACTTCAGAATAGTTGCTTCCTAGTTCAGGTCCTGTCTCAAGAAACTTCAGGGAAAGGGGAAATATCAGCAGGAATACTTTATACTAGGAAAAAATACAAGACATTGCCTATTTTACTACTTTTTTTTGGACAACATACTATCTATAAATGGGAGGCAAGTCCCAATGTGCCTGACCTACTAGCTGTAGGAAACAACCTCCATACATAGTTACGCTAACCAGCTGTAACAAAGAGAGTAAACAAAATTCGTTTAAACTACAGTACAGTACTGATAGCTGTCAGAAAAAAAATTCGGTGTGCTGTCTAATCCACAAATGACTATTGATACTTGTCAATTTATTTACAATGTACGATGATACACTAATAGTAACTTCACAGAATATTAAAGGAACAAACAAATCACTTAATCTGTTCAAGACTTTTCACTGATATCTTGAAACAAGTAGGGGTTTAACAAGAGTACACTACTGGCCCTCGAAAGAGGTACTGCAAGAACAGAACTAGCAAGATAGGAATACCAAACATGAAGTTTCAATCATATACCATCTCTGTAATATCAACTTCAAAGTTTACAGGCGCAAAGAAAGCTCAGCTCAAGGAAAAAAACAAGAAACAGAACAGGTGGAGGACAAACCTTGCGGGCAGCAAGTTTGTATTTCTTTGTCTCCAAGTTGGCCAATCCTGCAGCTGCTCGCAACTTGGCAACAATGACAGCATCCAACGTGTCTGGGGTTTGCTCTGCTTTGCTGACATAGTTGGTAACATGTGCAAACTGTGCCAACTCAATGCTAACCAGAATCACATGCATACACATTTGAACTATATGCTTGGAAGTGGTGCAATAGTCCCGTGTCCGGATATAGCTTTTGAAGGCTTCCGAAAGGTGACCATGAGCATAGAAGAAGTCACCAATGTCGTTATAACCCATTCTGATGCTCTCTTTGATCAGGTTAGTCTGCATTTAAAGAAGCAACATAAATGCAGAGTCACTTGTTTGATACATATATGACGTCACCATTCAACTCGCCAAGGCCACAAACAAATATACTAAACCAGAATTCAAATGCCAAAGAACAAAGAATACGACAACAGATCTAATAAACACTTTCACATATTTTATAGATTTTCAACATATATTATGCAATGTTATAGAGGTGGAAGTGGGTTGTGTAGATGAGAATGTAACATAACATTGTAGCAGGTGTCTTCCCCACTCTCTTCTTTAACATATGATACGCACACCTGTGCGTATCGGTAAAAACCCCATATATTATGCCTATATTCAACACTACATGCCTTCCTAAACTGTTGTAATAGGCCCATGCATAGAGATTGCATGATTAACAGAAAAATTAATCATAACTCTTTTAGGTTTGTTATTATTGACTCACTATAACAGATGCAGTAATTGTGGACCCTAGACAGCATCTATCACATACCTAGAGCTCACATTGTGCTAGACGATAAACACTGCCCACACCCCATCCTTAAACCAGCAGGCCAATTCATTTATCTAACTACCTTTTGCCAATTTTACTGCTTGTTTAGCTAACTTATCCCAATTCCGTAGCTATTTTTCAGTAATAAAATATAAAATAAGTCCAACACAAGAAAATTCGGCAACTGCAAAGCGGGCCTTAAACTCAGGCTCAAAGGAAGCTCTGGCAGCACAAACTCAGGCTCAAAGAAATTTCAAGTGTGCTCACAATCATATGTTCTAAACCATTTGACTGTTCCTATAATGCATAAAAGCATATTAGGTAAATTTCACATTTGAATCACAGAACCACATTTCTATCATGGACCCTAGCAGCATATATAGAGGCAACAAAGCGTGGGAAGGCATGCCACAAAAACAAAGAGGCAAGAAAATACATAATAATGGCTGAAAATCAGATAATGGCTTGTGTGTCTGTCTTCGACAAACTGCAAATAAATTAGATAATGGCTTGTACATGTGTGAGCCAAGTCTAGCACCAACCAAAGTCTGGGTTCATATGTAATAATGAACAAACTAATCACAGAGGCAAAAAAGAATAATGGCTGAACATACTGGGAAACAGTTCCCTTAGGCCAATATTGGCATGAAATATCTTGTTTTTACCTTGATTCTGCTAATATTAGGAACAATGGCTAAATCAGCTAATGGCTCTATTTACTTCCAGTGATTGTTTCCATGTAAAGAGTTTAATTGTGCACGATGATCTTTTCCTACAACATCACCTAACGGCAAAAGGATTGCATTCAGAGAAATCGTGCATGACTGTCATCCCAAATAACTAGATAACACCTATAGTTCAGCACCGCACCCTGATCAAACAATTATCAACATCAGCGTAAGCAATGTGCACGGTAACGACAATTTACTATCTTATCATCACAGCATAGAAAATTATGCTCATGCAAGGAACACTAGGCTTGCACATAGTAAGGGAACACAGCATAGGCTAATATTATAAATTAGAGACTACTACTCGCACCACGCAAATCAGAGTCATCCACACTCCACAGAGTAGGCATTACATCAAACCAAGCCGTCTATGATAATGATGATTAACCAGACAGATCAGCAAGGAATACCAACACGGGAGGCCCAATTCCTCGACGGATCAACGCAACCACCACATCCTAGGCAGAAACTAATGGGAACGATGCAGTAAATTCAGAGACGCGGTCAGAACAGGGGGTCAATGAAGGGGCAGGGTTTTCTCACCCTGTAGCCGTTGAGTTCGGTCTCGAGCTTCTCCTTGCGCTGCTCGGCGCGGCGGTTGACGGAGTCGACCCAGGCCTGGTCGTGGCGGTAGCGCGGGCCGAGGCGGCCGTTGATCTTGAGGACGGCGTCGAGGTAGAGCACGGTGTCCTCGCGCGCCCTGGCCTCGTCGTGCGCCATCCGCAGCGCCTCGAGCTGGATCGCCTCCACCCCGCACCGCTCCGCGATGAAGAGGAGCCGCGCCACGCGGGTCCGGCCCGAGTACTGCGCCGCGTACGCCTCCACGTCGAGCTGGTCGGCGGAGACCGGCGGCGCCGCGGCGGCCTGCTCCCCGCCGCCCAGCCCGTTCGTCACCGCCGCGGCCGCCGCCGCCGAGACCTCGCAGTCCACGTCCATGCTGCTGCCGGGGATCGGCGCTGGGGTTCGCCGCAAAACCCTAGAGAGAGACGGGGGAGGCGGAAGCTTCGGGAGAGGCGAGATGCCGAGGAGGGGAAAAGACGGAGGGCCTGGGTTGGAAATAGCACGGGTGGTGCGGGCAGATATGTAAAGTTACGTTGGGCCGGGTATGGGTCACGTGCGTTGGCCCAATAATTCTTATGGGCTAACAGGCCGAAATAACCTCTTATACAATATGGTGGGCTGGCTGGTGGCGTGCTGTGCTCTACACTTTTTAGGTCCAAGGTCCCGGCGAGCGAGGAGGTCTCGAGCGGCGGCGGCGGAGATGAGGGCGGTGAGCGGCGCGGTGGTCTCGTCGAAGCCGGTGGGCTTACGCAAGGCCGCGCGCGTGTTCAGCCGCTTCGCGGCCAGAGACGCGTCGGCGCTGCCCGCCGGCGCGGGCGCGCTGGTCCTCTGCGCGGCCGAGGCCGCCGCCGAGCTCCACGCCTTCCGCTGCGCCCGCGTGGGTCCCGATGGCGAGGCTGAGGCGGAGGTGGCGCCGGGTGGCCAGGAGCGGCGCAAGAAGAGGAGGAAGACGGGGCGCGAAGGTGTGTCACTAGAGTAGGCTCTTTTAAAAAAAAATCCATGTGTTACTGTGGTATCGACTAGTCTGTTGTTCTTGATGCTGTTAAATCCATTTGTTACTGTGGTAGCGACTAGTAATAATTTGTCTGCTGTTCTTCACCGTGTATCATTTGGGACGAGCTGCGTTGTATATCCTGCTGCTGGGGCTACATTTCACTCCCTCCGTCCCGTAATATAAGAACGTTTTTCACGCTAGTGTTTCAGTGCAATCGCTGAACTGAAAAGACGTCTGAGCTTGTGTGCTCTGCTCTTCAGCCCATGACTGAATCCCCTGCTGCCCTTGAACTGTTTTTTTTTTATAAGAGAAACTTGAACTGTTTTATTAGTTGGATGTTTAGCTTTTCAGTTTTCCTTTTGAGCCACACAACCCAACTCCGTAGTAAGGTTCCGTTGTCTGTCTGTCAGTGGAGCCTCGCTGATTTTCCAAAAGGAACAAAACTGTCGCTGTTGATTTGGTTCTGAGGTCTGAACTCGTGTGCGTTGGAACTTCAGCGTCTGATTTCTCTCTCGGAGCCTCGAGAAAGAGACGGATACTTGTGTTGTTTAGCACCTTTCAGCTTTAGCTAGAACATTACTCCAGCTGCTGGATCGGATCCCATTGGCTCAGACATCACTTATTGCCGACTCGCCGGCACCTCTGCTTCACCTGGCCATGACCGGCAAGAAGATCCCAACGCAAACACGCAATCACATCTCATCCAGTCAGGAGTCAGCCGTCACGTTCCACGAAGATTACCGAAGTCAGACACACAATCCACTAAGTCCAGACAAATTTGGTGCAATCCGCTTCAGTCCAGCTTCAGTCTGCGCTGTCCATCTCTTAGATCCCTTGAGAAAGATATAGAGTATGTAGGTAACACTTTTCAACTGAGCTAGAACAGTAATACCATTAAATCTGACAGATTGCCATGAAAGATTGCCAAAGTTAACCACTTATTCAGATTCAAGTGATCAACAGGAGCCTCATCACTGGATAGAAACAAAACCACATAAACATAGTATTAGGCGTTAAAACTTGAATGTTTGTGGACAAAAGAATAACTATATTGTCTTGGAATTCTATACAGTGATGGAATGCAAGATGACAATAGACCTTTTTTTTCTCAAATACCTGCAAAAATAAAATCTACCTCTTCCTATAATATAAGATTTAATACAAGTTGACAAATCGTAATATATTTGCCTTTGCTGAAGATCCGGCTGAAGCTGGAACAAAGACAGAAGCTAAACTATCCTAACCAGACTCTATATGGAACTGGGATGCAGGTCCGGTTAGCAATCTCATACCATGAAATTGATATATGCAATCATAAAAACAGACTCCCTCTGGAAAAGGATTTTGAGGCCAAAATACTATGGACCAGCACCAAAGTACAGACAACATTCGAGCATCTGGAGTGGGTGACATGGATCACATCACCGGCGTCAGGATTCTACTTGAGGAACTCCAAGCATTTCTCCAGCCATGCTTGATCTGCATTTCTAGTTAGTGCCTTCGAGGAAGGAAATGCAAGCCAGACTTGTGCATCTGCTCAGTCTTGTGATCATCAGCTCCAGGAAGCGACCTAGCTCCGCATTCAGGCAAATTTGGTTCAGTCCAGTACGTTCCAGACAGAGGCTACTCGTGTCACTAGCAGCTCACCGAAGCAGAAACGCACGCACTTGGACTAGACACCCAGCCAAAGACTTCGCACCTAGCAACCGAAGAGGATCCCATTGCACTCACATCTCATCCAGTCAGCCGTCACGTTCGGCTAAGATTGCCAAAGTTGATCACTCACTCGGGAAAATCCAATTCAATCCAGTATGTTCCAGCCTCAGTCTCTACTCTTCTCGACCTGAAGCAGACAGAAGCTGCTGGTGTCACTACCAAGTGTAGAATCAGCTCAGCAAAGCAGGATCGGAATCGGACCCCTCGAGCTGGACACCCAGCCAAAGAACGCCTCACCCAGGAGGCCAGGACTAATTCAGCCACGCAATCATGGCCTGATGCCACGATGTCCCGCCCCTGTGGGTGCTGAGTCGGATCAAGGATATTTTGGCGCGGCGTTATCCACACCCGAGGGCCGCAGAAAAGCGCAAATTGATATTTTGCTGGCGTCGTTTGCTTCCCTGTTTGGGTAAAACCTTTTGCTTCTTCTTTTTATTGTTGCAAAAATCTTTTGCTTCCTGGTAGGTGCCAAGCAAAACCAGTGGTTGGACTTTTGTTTAAGGTTGAGTGCAACTGTTGAGAATGACATGTAGTATTATCAGACTCTTAGTTGCTCTGGTATATTATTGTTGATGAAGGGGTAACAAACCGTGTGTGTTTGCTTTTCCGGCGAAAACCGGCCACAACATAACAAATTGCATTCCGTTTAACGTTTTCACCTTTTTTATTAATCTTGCAAGGCTTCTGCCGCGCCCGCACAGGCGATGGCGGAGCGGATAGGAGCGATTGCAAGCAGAGGAGGAAGGCGGAGCGCGAGGCTTGTGCTACTGGAGCAATAGCTTTGTTTTTTTTTTTTCTGAAGTCCATGTGTTACTGCACTTGTTGGTTCTGCGTCGTAGCTAATCCCTTGCCTCTTGGTTCCGAAGTCTGAACTCGTGTGCGTCTGATGTCGCTCTCCCTCTGTTGAAGTCTCGAGCAAGGTGCGGATGCTTGTGTTGCTCAACACCTTTTGAGCTGAGCTGATGCTGCTGGATGCCTGGATCCCATTGGCTCATTCAGCTATTGCTGGCTTGCCGGTACCTCTGCTGAACCTGGCCGTGGCCGGCAGGGAGATCCCGACGCGACCACATCCCATCCAGTCAGCCGTCACGGTGCGGTGCACGAAGATTACCCAAGTCATCCACACAATTCAGGCGAATTCCGGTGTGTTCCGGCTTCAGTCAGCTCTGCCCGGCCCGGTGCAGACAGAGGCTACCCATGTCACTACCACACCTGGACTAGACACCACGCCTAGCAACCATACAAGTGTCCACAACGTCATAGGTGCCTGAACTGAGCCTGAGAAGATGGTCTTTATTGCCTGGTCAGGCTAGCGTGTGCGGTATGCGTTTGGTTCGTGACCTGCCTGGCTGCTACTTCCTCCGTTCGAAAATACTTGTCATCAAAATGGATAAAAATGAATGTATCTAATATTAATATACATCTAGATACATCCTCTTTTATTTATTTTAATGACAAATATTTTCGGAGGTGGTACTAAACTGGCCCTGTCTTTTTCTATTTGAACACGAAACCGCCCGTATACAAGTGCTAGTAGTTGATTAGTACTCCCTCCATCCGTAAATACTTGTCAAAGAAATGGATATATATAGACGTATTTTAGTTTTAGATACATTCACTTTTATCCATTTCAGCGACAAGTATTTTCGGACGGAGGGAGTACTCCCCAGGCAGATGTTACGGCCACCAGGCGTCCAACTTCCTAGGCCTGGCCAGGCTAAGAGCATTACTAGTAGAGCCCTCAAACCCTCAAACCCCTAAAAATAACTGCTTTTTTACAGTTTTCGTCGAAAAAAAGCCGTAGACTAGAACCCCTTAACCCTCAAACCCTCAAATTTTTTTAAAGGTCCAACCCTCAAACCCTCTCCCAATCCTCAAAAGTAAGGGTTGGGGAGCAAAACCTACCCCAATCCTCATTTGACGGTTATCCTTGCGCGGGAGGGAAAAAATTCTCCCAACTCCCGCGCCCACGCCCGCGACCGTCGCTGCTAGTCGCCCCCGTCGCCGGCGGCCACCCCGTCGACCTCCCGCGCGCAACGACAACGTCGTTCATGGGGAATATTCCGTTATAAGGGTTGGGTTTGAGGGTTCTAATCTTTGCCTCTGTTTTTCAACCCGTAAAAGTGCATAAAAAAATTATTTTTGGACCCTTAAAACGCTAGTGAGGGTTTGAGGATTTGAGGGTTCTACTAGTAATACTCTAAGCACATGCCTGGAGTTACGGGTCAGGCTAAACACATGACAAGACTTTTCAGGCCAGGCTAGTACAGGCATGCTCAGGCTATAAACCAAACAACCTCCAGGCAGCATCCAGGCACGCGCCAGGCCATGCGTTGCGAGGACGGAATCCAAACACACCTAAACCTCTCGACTAGGGCCCTGTTTGGATCATGAGGTTAGAGCTAGTTTGGGTAAGTTGAGGGCTTAAATAACCTAAAAGCATCCAAACAGAGAGGGTTAGAGTGGGTTAGTTTCATCTAACCCAACTATCCCGATGGAGAGGTGCTTATTTGGGTTAGAATGGGTTAGAAAATAACTTTAATTTTAACTGTGTTAGAGTATCCAAACAGGGACTAGACTGAATTCTGCAGTAAGGTTCGTTATCTTGCAATGGAGCCTTCATGATTTTCTACACACACAAAAACTGTAGCTGTTTCTTCAGTTC